TGGCCAGGTCAGAAACCTGTTGGTAATACGCTTGATGGCCAATCTGTGCTGACGGATGGGATGAAGAGTTACCTCGTCCAGGGAGCTTGTCAAGGTCACTGGAACATTAAGAGGTCTGTTTGTCCTTGAGCTTCTGCTTGATCTAGTAAGCCAGTTTCCAGCTAAGAAAGGCAGCAGGCTCCAGCACAGCTGCCAGGGTGTGGGAATCCAGGGCTGGTTAACAGCCTTTTGTCACTGTGCTGCAAGGATATTACAGCCGAGATGTAGCCTCCTGTGGCAGGAATGGAGCTGACTGGGAAGCAGCATTCACATCAATCCCACACCAGTTATGTTTTAAAGGGGTATTTATTTTGGGGGGTAAAACTTACATACATCATAAACCGTCAGGAAGGGAGCCTAGTCGCTGGAGCAGGAGCTGGGAGCAGGAGCTGGAACCAAGAGGCCGAGCCGAGGCTTGCCGCTCTTCTTTTAAAGAGAAATATACCACGCCCCAGTGGGCTGGTATTTCAGCGGCTATTGGCTGACAGAGCGGAAGGTACTCCCGCAGCACTTAACTGTGGTCATACTCTCCACAGCAGGTCCGTCGGGGCCTGAACTGTGTGTCTCACCTTTATCGGATGTAGAAGTCAGGCATGGAAGGGGTGGAGGTGAAGGAGAGGTTACCCATTTGTAGAGGAAGACAATGGTCAACCAGGGTGGGAAACTCCTGTGGTTCTTTGGGTCACAGCTGTAGGCCCACATGGTGTCTCTGGACGAGGGATGGCATTTGGGAGTTGAGCCTTGGATCTGCCTCCTGGGGGGTCAGCCCTTATATGGAGACACGGGGCAAACTGAAACAGAAAAAATGTGCCTTCCTAACAGGATGGGCAGACATACATGACAGAGAGCACAGAAGACGGAAAGGTGGGGGATCTCACGCTTACCTGCCGAAGGGAACAAGAGGTCTTAGCACTGACACCCCACTTTATTGGGGTGCTGTCCAGCACTGTGAGTGAGGAAAGGGAGTCGACCAGAACTTGTTCCAGGCAAAACCCAAAAAGTTACAGCCGCAATGAAAAAAGGACTCTGACCAGGTGAGCTCAAAGCCTATGCTAGATGTCTCTGTTCCAGGTGCCTGATGAAGCTGTGCCTTAAGGTCTTCCATGGGGGAGGGGTGAGAAGGTGCAACGCCAGCAAACACAGCTGCCGGGAGTCTGGTGAAAGGGAGAAGGCAGACTCCAGACTCATTTATTTAACAACGGAGTGGGGGGGGGGTATGGGGGGCGGGGACTTATATATCCTCCCAGCAACCAAGCATTCTAATCCATTGACATCGCATGGTTACCCCTCATTGGTTAGCACAATCAGGACCTCTAGTGCCTGTTGCTAGGCCCCCAAGCAGCATTGTGTGGTTGCCCCTCATTGGCTAGGCATGATTAGGACCTCTGACAGTGCCTGTTGCTGGCCCTAACAATCCAATAGGTGGTGGATGAGGGCATAAAACATACTTGATATTGAAAGTGTTAATGTGAGGCTTCAGAGCTTCCATTTTGACTGCCAATTCGAGTTCACCGAGTTCTACAGACTTGAGGTCTGGTACATAATATTTTTGTTTATTTGCAAGCTTTTTTAAATAATAAAGTTCTTAAGATTAGAAAAGATAATAAAAACAAGGCTGGAGAGATGGCTCAGCAGTTAAGAACACTGGCTGCTCTTCCTGAGGACCCGGGTTCAATTCCCAGCACCCATGTGGCAGCTCACAGCTGTTTGTAACTTCAGTTGCAGGATCAGACACCATAACACAGACATACATGCAAGCAAAATAAACACACACACACACACACACACACACACACACACACACACACACACATTAAATAACAAAGTAATCGACTAAAGAAAGATCACCATGAAAATATGTGAGATCCAGTTCTCTGATGAAGCCACATTCAGCCTGTGGACTGCGTGGCCCCAGCTGACTAGACCATCACAGCTCTGGAGCATGGGGACTCACGCCAATAACCAAACACCCAGAAGACTAAAGCAGGAGGATTGCAAAGAGTTCATTGTGAACATGGGGTTCATGAAGGGTTCAAGGTCAGACTTTGCTAGAGTGAAACCATGTATTTAAAAAGAAAGGAAAGACAAACAAAAAGCACAGTTGTAAAAAATGTGTCACCAAAATTATCTTGAGCTATCTTAGGTCCTTAGGCCAATTACCTTCAGTTTCTGTCTGACCTAACAGTCTCCTGACTAATAAACTTCTCCAAATGTACCCACAGTGCTAGTCAACGTCCAGCCTCCACCACCCCTAAAGCTAAGAGTGGTGTAAATCACACTGTGGAAACCAAATAGAAAGCCTCCTGCTAGCAAATCCCACAGCACTTCTTCCCCCAGGACTAACAGATGCTGTGTGTTAAATACAGTAGTGTTTAGAGTGGGTCTGGGGTTCAAGAAAACGGCCACATGCTCTAGCTTGCTTTCTGTTGCTGTGTAGGACACTCTGACCAAAAGCACCTTGGAGAGGAAAAGGGCTTATTTCATCTTACACTTTAGGTAACAATCTCTCTGATGAAAGCCAGGCCAGGAGCTTGAGGCAGGAGCAGAGGCTGGAACCACACAGGGCAGGTGCTCACTTGTTTCGAGACTTTCTCTGTCCTGCCAGCTCCCAGGTAACTACACAGAGATTTCTTGTTAATTATGAAAGGTCGGTTGATAGCTTAGGCTTGTTCCTAACTAGTTTTTATAACTTAAATTAACCCATTTCTCTTAATTTATGTCCTGCAATGTGGCTCATGACTTGTTACTTCATTTCCTTTTTAAAAAAAAATATTTATTTATTATGTATACAATATTCTGTCTGCGTGTATGCCTGCAGGCCAGAAGAGGGCATCAGACCTCATTACAGATGGTTGTGAGCCACCATGTGGTTGCTGGGAATTGAACTCAGGACCTTTGGAAGAGCAGGCAATGCTCTTAACCACTGAGCCATCTCTCCAGCCCCTGTTACCTCATTTCCTACATGTTATGTTTTCTCCGTGTCTCCTTGGGACTCTACCCTTCTTCTTCCCAGCATCTCGTGTCTGGAAATTCTGCCTACCTATTGACTGTCCAGATTTTTATTAAACCAATCAGAATGACACATCTTCACAGTGTACAAAAAGATTATTCTACAACATTTCTCCCTATTTGTCTAAATAAAAAAGAAAAGGTTTTAACACCATGTTAAGCCCATGTATTTGTATTTGTATTTGGCATATTCAGAGAAAATACTCTTATTATCTAGATTACACTAATGAATTTTTAATATAACTTGCATTACCATCCTAAAACTATCTTTTTTAGACCTCAAAACATTTTTTTAGTCAAACAATTTAAGCTTTTATGTCTCCCAACCTTAGACACTTTACATCTTGAGTGGGAAGAGCACCAGAAGTTGAAGGCCAATCTTTTCTGTTAGGAGATCTTGTCTGAGAGCAAAACCCCAGCCAAATCACTCATAATCAGTAAGAACAATGAAATCATGGGGGAAAGACTTCAAAAAACACTTTGGAAAAGAGGAGATCTAAATGGTTAATATAATGAGAGTCAGGCACAGTTAATTAATAAAAAATAAAGAAAACAGAAAAATGAAAAGTTGATTCACATAACATTAACATTTTAGATTTATAGCTGGGCAGTGGTGGAACACACCTTTAATCCCACCACTTGGGAGGCAGAAGTAGCTCAATCTCTGAGTCTGAGGACAGCCAGGACTATATAGAAAAACTGTGACTCAAAAGAAACAAGCAAAAAATTACATTTGATTCACTGGTGTGTGTGTGTGTGTGTGTGTGTGTGTGTGTGTGTGTGTGTGTGTATGCGTGTGTTCTAGTGGCACATGTGAATGTCAGTGGTCAACATAAGGGAGGCAGTTCTCTCTCTTCATTATGTAGGTTCCATGGATCAAACTCAACTTTCAGGCTGGGCCTTAAGCTCCTTTACCTGCTGAGCCATCTCCCTGGCCCTTAATATAGTTTTCTAATCAAGAACTATAAATAAAGCCAAATGAGATCCCCCAAATTACTACAATATCTAAGTCTAAGAGTTCTAGTGAAAGTACCCAGTGTTGGTGTGGCTCCTGGGATTCATATAGGACACTGGTGGAGTGAAACAGGGTCTCACTATGTAGACCAGAGTGATTTCCTTTTTCTTTTTATTATTATTTTATTTTATTACTTTAAAAAATACCAATTCAAATTTCCACTCCCTCCAGACACCCTCCCCCCACCCACTCCAATCCTACGAGAGGGCAAGGCACCCTGCCCTGTGGAAAGTCCAAGGCCCTCCCTACTACATCTAGTTTGAGCAAGGTTCACATCCAAAGAGAATAGGATCCCAAAAGTCAGAACATGCAGTAGAGACAAATCCCAGTTCCACTGTCCTTGGCCCCTCAGTCTGCCCCAACTGTCAACCACATTCAGAGGGACTAGTTTGATCCCAGGCTCCTTCACTCCCAGTCCAGTTGGAGTTGGTGAGCTACCATTAGCTCAGGCAAACTGTCTCAGTGGGTGAACTCCTCGTGGTTTTGACTTCCTTGCTCATACTTCCTTGCTCACTTCTTCCACTCTTCAACTGGACCTTGGGAGCTCAGTCCAGTGCTCTGATTTGGGTCTCTGCCTCTGTTTCCATCTGTTGTTGGATGAAAGTTCTATGGTGATATTTAAGATATTCATCAGTCTGACTACAGGGCAAGACCAGTGCGGGTACCCTCTCCTCTATTGCTTAGGGTCTTAGCTGGGGTCATCCTTGTGGATTCCTGGGAATTTTTCTAGAGCCAGGTTTCTTGCTAACCCCATAATGGCTCCCTCAGTCAAGATATCTCTTTCCTGGCTCTCATATCTGTTCTTCCTCCATCTTGACTATCCTATTCCCTCAAGTTCTCCTCAACCCTCCCCTTCTCCCCTCCTCTTCCTCTTTTTCTATCCCTCTCCCCTCCCCCATGCTCCCAAATTTTGTCAGGCGATGGATCTTGTCTGTTTCCAATTTCCAGGTGGGTCTATATAAAATTGGATTGATACAGAGAAGATTATCATGGCCCCTGTGCAAGGATGACACACAAATTCATGAAGTGTTCCAGAGTGATTTCAAAAATCAGAGATCCACCTGCCCCTGCCTCCTGAGTTCTGGGATTAAAGGTGTGTGCCACAATACCCAACTTTTCCAGGGCCTTTTAAAGAATCATCTTCCTGTTGTACTCTCAGTCTTTTCCTTTACAAGACCTTTGCCTGTGGTGTCCTAATAACATACTTTATCTATTCTACTACTATTATTATATTGGTTTTTGAGACAGTCTAAAGCAGCACAGACAGCCTCAAACTTCCTATGTAACTATGAGAATGCCTTTACCTTCTGCTCTTCTTGTCTCCCTCTGAGATGCTGGGTTTACATACTTGAGCCACCATGCCTAGTTTTATAGTGTTATAGTTTACAGCGCTCTAGGGCTCAAACCCATGGCTTCATGAATGCTCGGCAAGCATTCTACCTACTAAGTGAGCTATAATCCCAGGCTCAATTTCTTCATTTTAAAAGTCCCTCTCTCCCAGATGTGGTGGTGCAAGTCTGTCTGTAATTTCTGTGTTTGTGAGGCAGAAGCAGGGAGGATCACACATTCAAGGGATTCACAGGGGCAGGGAACTGCCTTGACCCCAGCCCCCAATACACACACACACACACACACACACACACACACACACACACACACACAGCTAGGGGCTGGAGTCATGGCTCAGCAGTTACTGGCTGCTCTTCCAGAGGATCTGGGTCCTAGTCCCAGCACCTGGTGGCTCACAACCATTTGTAACTCCAGTCACAGGAGATCTGGTGCCCTTTCCTGGTTTCCCATGGCACTGTATGCATGTGTAACACAGACATGTAGCACATGCAGGCAAAATATTTAGCTTATCGTGGCTGGCTCCTACATATACAAAATATTAAAGCAATTAAACAAAATAAAATGAGACAAGTTATTTCTGGTGCTGGGGAGATGGCCCAATTGGCAGTGGTTACTGCTATTCCAGAGGACCTGTTTGGTTCCCAGCACCCATCTCACAGCTGCCGGTAACTCCAGCTCTGGGGAACCCAGCGTTTCTTCTGGCCCCGGAGGGTACTCTTACACACAGTACACACACACACACCTAACTTTTTAAAGTTCTATTTAGGCTGTGGATATAGCTCAGTGGTAAAGTACATGCCCAATCTGTGCTGCTGAGCTCAGTCTCCAGCACCGCCAACAGCCCCACCCTCTCCGAAAGCTGTTGCTTCCCTGTTTTCTCCCCTTTGAAATGGTTGCCTAGCTAATGTTCCTCCCTCCTCCCTTTAAAAGTGTGCGTGTAAGCACGCATGTGCCACCACAGAGCACACATGGTCAGAAGAGAATTCTTGGTTCTCTTCTGCCACCTTGTGGGATCACAGGGTCAATCAGAGTCATCTTGACAGCTCTTTCCATTTTTTGTTTTGTTTTGAGGAAGGGTCTCATGTACATCAGACTGGCTCAGCCTCACAAATACTGGGATTAAATGATTACATTACCATGGTCCGGCATCCTACCTACACACACACACACCCCAAACCCACAACAGAGTTTCTTTGTGTGTGTAGCTCTGGCTGTTGTGGAACTCACTCTCACTCTGTAGACCAGACTGGCCTCGAATTCAAAGATCCACCTGCCTGTCTCCCAAGCACTGGGATCAAAGGCAAGTGTCACCATTGCCCGGCCCCTTCTCCATTCTTTTTTCTTCTTTTTTTCTATTAACATTTTCCCCTTTATTTTACATACCAACTACAGTCTCCCCTTCCTCCTCTCCTGTCCCCTTCCCTCAGCTCCCATCTCCCCCTCTCCGCATCCACTCCACTGCTGTCTCCATTCAGAAAGGGGCAGGTCTTCTATGGACTTGTGCAAAGCATGGCACATCAAGTTCAGATAGGATCAAGCTTCTCCCCGCATAAAGTCTGGGCAAGGTAATTCAGCATGGGGAACAGGCTCCCAAAAGTCACCTAAGCACTAGGGACAGACCCTGATCTCACTGCTAGGAGCCTTATAAACAGACCGAGCCACACAACTGTGGCACACACATGCAGAGGGCCTAGGCCCCCCCTCCATTCTTATGAACTCATACTACACAAGCTTTGTCCCTGTTAACATGCCGTGTCTGTTCTCTTCAAGATCACTGAAGACCTCCAATTTGCTTTCGTGCACAGGGACAACTCTCATCCCACTAATGTGAATGGTACCTGTCAGTTACCACTTTTCCTTTCCTCTAGGAACAGCGACTTTGGTTGTAAAGTTTCAGAATTCTCTTGGTTCCCCCTTGCTGTTTTTGCTTTTCTTCCTTAGTCTCCTGGAAAGCTTGGAGCTCCTCTGGATGATCCATGGACTTTACCTTCTTCCAATCTTCACATCCACCCAGATCTTCATTATCGTCTTCATCTGCTGAGATAAGGTCTCATGGAGACCAGGCTGTCCTGGATCACTTCTGATCCTCCTGCAGCCTCCTTCCATGTGCTGGGAAACTAGGTTACTATATTCAGCTCCCACTTCTTCTTGTGGTGCAGAAATGAAGCTAGGGCCTTACACATGTGTTGCAAATATTTCGGATGTGTGGGTTTATGCGGGATCGTAAGATGAAGACTCAGAGACACGAGAATGAACTTAACCTCTGTGACTTCAGGGGGCTGTCTGAAGTGCCTTCCAGCATCTTTATTTTTTCCTGTATTTACGCTTTAGTTAGTAGATTTCTATATCTCAAAACAAACTGATAGAAGCTTCTGACAATACAACGCCAGGTGCAAATGCCTGATTCATGAGGTACCTCAGTTTTCCGGATTTCTTCTAAACCAAGTTTTGCATAGGCTTTGTATCCATGGGAAACTCCCAGTCAAGATTCACATGGGACAACAAAAGGTATTTGTAACACAAAGGAAGGCCTAGGGGCTAAGTGAAAACTCCGGAGTCCGGCCGGTATAACCCAGCGGGGTTTCACAGCTAGTGGAGGTTGCTTTCTCTCCCTCTGGTGTCAGGCTAGAGGGACATCTCAGGAAAGTTCCACTGCTGGGTTACATCCCCAGGTCAGTCTGTCTCCGTGTGTCTCTTTTTTAAAATTTATATTTTTGAGTGATGTCTGAATGTATGTAGGTGCACTGTGTGTGTGTGTCTGATGCATGAGGATAGAAGAGGGGGCTGGATCCCTCGGAGCTGGAGTTACAGACAGCTGTGAGCCACCATATGGGTGCTGGGAACCAAACCTGGGTCTTCTCCAAAAGCAGCAAGTGCTCTTAACCACTGAGCCATCTCTCCAGGTCTACTTTTAAACTTAGAGACAGGGTCTTACTGGATAGCCCAGGCTAGAATAAACTTGTGACCTTTCTGCCTCAGCCTTTCCAGTGGGCTTACAGATGTATTTTGGGTTTTTTTTTTTGAAATATACTTTAGACATATTTATATAGAAAAATTTGGCAAAAAATAGATAGTACCATATATTTGTCTTTCTTTCTTTTTTCCTTCCTTCCTTTCCCCTCCCCCCCAAGTTTGTCCAGACAGGGTTTCTCTGTGTAACCCTGGCCATCCTGGAACTCTCCTTCTAGAGCAGGTTGGTCTCAAACTCACAAGAGATCTGCCCATCTCTGGCAAGCAGGAAAGATCCTTTAAGCAGCCTCCAGATCCCCCTCCTGCCGACCCCTTTATTTTACACTCCCCCAAGGACCTTTTATATCTTCCTCCTGGACCGCTCTTGACCCAGATAGTTGGCTCTTCTGGGACCATTTAGCTGCATTATTACCAAAAGTCTTCGCTCATCCACCCTATCTAAAACCACAATCCTCACACACTTCCTGGCTTCCTTCCATGCTTTGAAATTTTGTTTTTGAATTTAAAAATATTCCTGGTTTTGAATTTTTTAAAACATGGTTTATTGAGAAAGGATTTCTCTGTATAGCATTGGCCATCCAGGAACTTGCTCTGTAGACCAGGCTGGCTTCCAACTCAAGAGATTCATCTGTCTGTGCTTCTGGGATTAAAGGTGTGTGCCACCAGTGCCTGGCTGAAATTTTGCTATTAAATATACTTTAGAGATGTTTATGTTTATAGAAAAATTTGGCAAAAAAAATAGAGCCCATATATTCCCTCTCACCAATTTCCCTTATTATCTTATATATGTATTTCTTATATATATTTCAGTTGATAAACCATATTGATGCATTATTATTATATTGAATTATCTATTATATTATGCACACTGGCGTTTCGTCTGCATGAATGTGTGTCAAGGTGTCAGACCCCCTGGCACTGGATTTATAGACAGTTGTGAGCTGTCACGTGGGTGCTGTGAATTAAACCTGGGTCCTCTGGAAGAGCAGCCAGGGCTCTTAACTACTGAGTCATTTCTCCAGTCCCATATATCAGTGCATAATTAACTAGAATTAACTAATAGATTTATATGATTTTTCACAAATGCAGGATGTCATGTGTCTATTACTATAGTGTTTCACCTAGGAGTTTCAGTGCCATAAAGTCCCCTGTGCACTATCTACACTATCCATACTCCTACCTCCACCTCCCAAGTGCTGGGATTCTAAGCATGAGCCACCGTCGCAGGTTTATAAAATACAAGCAACTGAGCCACATCCTTAGCTCTCCAGTAAACTCTCAATTAGTTCTTCAGAGCGAGGAGCGCTGGGAGCTGTGGCACCTGCAGAGAAGGACGGCAGGTGAGGTGGAGGCTGCTGCATTCATCCGCTTGTTATCATTTTATAAATAGCACTTCTGCACGCTAAGCTTTTCATTCTTGCAAAACTAATCTTGGCAGGTGGATATTATGATTACCATTTTATTCATGAGACAATAGGTTCAGGGAGGTAGAACGACTTGCCTGACGCCATCATGTGGAATGTGGTGGTTCCAAGATTCTCATCTAGAGCTCGAATTCACACTTGCAGCCTTAATAGCGAATCACTAGTAGTAGCTCCTAGGCGGCGCCTGAGATTGCTGGGACCCAAGGGCAGGTAATAGTCTCCTTTTAAAAGCTTTACCAGACTCTGGGCCTGGTGGCGCAGCAGTGTAACCCGTTACCAGGCAGGCAGGACAACCTT